ACTTTCTGAGATGTGTCGGCGAGAAGCACGACATGTCATTTAGGAGCTGCTGTTGCTGAACTTCAAAATCTAGCAGCATATTGAGCTCCTCGGTGGGAATGCCCCTGGCATTAAAAGATGATCTCAGACGACTTGGCTGGAGATTGCTTCCAGGAAGATGTAAAGTAGGGATGTTTGGCTGTGGCCAAGCAACAGACGGGTGCGAAATAGCATTTCCAGAAGGAGATATGGGTGCTGAGGGAGAACCAGGCAAAAAGGCTCAATGCCACAGCCATATCCATGACAGTAGCAGCAGAAGTGGACTAGGTTGAGGTCCGGCGGGCGGCTAAGGTGAGGTTGCCGCCCGCCGGGGAAGCGAAAATACTAGGTTCTAAACCTGCTCTGATACCATGTAAAAATATAATGTAAAGAGAAATAGAGAATTGTATTATTGATTGATTGTATGTTGATCTTTATTACAATGATTCATGATTCCTATATATAGAAGAGGGTGAGTGTGTAGTAGGTAAGGAGTAGGTGAAGTGGAGGTGGTAGTGGTGTAGTGGGTTAGGTTTAGTGGAGTAGGTGAGGTGGTAGTGGTGTAGTGGGTTAGGTTTAGTGGAGTAGGTGAGGTGGTAGTGGTGTAGTGGGTTAGGTTTAGTGGAGTAGGTGAGGTGGTAGTGGTGTAGTGGGTTAGGTTTAGTGGAGTAGGTGAGGTGGTAGTGGTGTAGTGGGTTAGGTTTAGTGGAGTAGGTGAGGTGGTAGTGGTGTAGTGGGTTAGGTTTAGTGGAGTAGGTGAGGTGGTAGTGGTGTAGTGGGTTAGGTTTAGTGGAGTAGGTGAGGTGGTAGTGGTGTAGTGGGTTAGGTTTAGTGGAGTAGGTGAGGTGGTAGTGGTGTAGTGGGTTAGGTTTAGTGGAGTAGGTGAGGTGGTAGTGGTGTAGTGGGTTAGGTTTAGTGGAGTAGGTGAGGTGGTAGTGGTGTAGTGGGTTAGGTTTAGTGGAGTAGGTGAGGTGGTAGTGGTGTAGTGGGTTAGGTTTAGTGGAGTAGGTGAGGTGGTAGTGGTGTAGTGGGTTAGGTTTAGTGGAGTAGGTGAGGTGGTAGTGGTGTAGTGGGTTAGGTTTAGTGGAGTAGGTGAGGTGGTAGTGGTGTAGTGGGTTAGGTTTAGTGGAGTAGGTGAGGTGGTAGTGGTGTAGTGGGTTAGGTTTAGTGGAGTAGGTGAGGTGGTAGTGGTGTAGTGGGTTAGGTTTAGTGGAGTAGGTGAGGTGGTAGTGGTGTAGTGGGTTAGGTTTAGTGGAGTAGGTGAGGTGGTAGTGGTGTAGTGGGTTAGGTTTAGTGGAGTAGGTGAGGTGGTAGTGGTGTAGTGGGTTAGGTTTAGTGGAGTAGGTGAGGTGGTAGTGGTGTAGTGGGTTAGGTTTAGTGGAGTAGGTGAGGTGGTAGTGGTGTAGTGGGTTAGGTTTAGTGGAGTAGGTGAGGTGGTAGTGGTGTAGTGGGTTAGGTTTAGTGGAGTAGGTGAGGTGGTAGTGGTGTAGTGGGTTAGGTTTAGTGGAGTAGGTGAGGTGGTAGTGGTGTAGTGGGTTAGGTTTAGTGGAGTAGGTTTAAGTGGGTGAAGTAGGTGGAGAGTAG